GACCAAAATTTAATTCATCAACAAACGAGATAAGCAAGTTTATTGCTCATTGTCCACATAACCTAACCTATGTGTTACATTTCCTTTTTTTCTTGTGAAGTATCTTTTATTTTTGCTATATCTATAAAGAATTCTTTAAGGTGTGGCTATTTTAACATTCCATCAATTAATACAGTAGTAATGAGAAATTCTTTAATGTAGTAATTAATTTTTATTCTTTTGACTTTTAGTTCAGAGTATGACCCCTGCCCTACTTTGTTTTTAAATCTATTAGAGACTTTGTTTTCAAATCTGTTAGAAATCACAAAAGATAGTTATAAGAAAAAGTTACACAAACAGATAGTATTCCAAACCCAACGTGTAACTTGTTGTTTTTCCTTTCTTAGCATCAGGCATATCTGCTGGCGATAGAAAATCTCCTATAAACAAATATAACCAAACTCTGAAGCAATCATGATGATATCCATCTTTTCAGGTTCACCATGGCTGATGCCCAGGTGGTGCTTGGAGAGAGTAAGAAGCTGCCTGCCTGCAGCTCCTCGGCCAGGAGCCTGGTCAGGTGCTCCACATATCTCCCCTGTTGTTACATCTTCACGAGAAGCCTCATAATGGGGTCTTCCCTGTGGCGCAGACAAGGCACCTGGAACTCAGAGATCCACTCCTTCCCAATTTCACAGCAAGCCTGGAACCAGTGCTTTCTGTCTCATGGAAATGATCAATAGCCAATCTGATACTGTCGATAAACTTTTTACAAATCTATCAGCCAGAAATAATCACCTTTTGGGGTTTCAATTTTTTGGCGTTTTTGTTTTCCGGTTTTCTCACATGTAACCATTGCATAATAAAGATAAGACTTTTTTTTAACAGTTGGCTTATATAATTTGCCTTATGTTTACAGAGAAAACAGAGCCTACCAAGTGTGAGTAGACACATACATAAGATGAATAGTAATTACGGATTCTGTAGAAGTTAAGCAAAGTTGAAGACTCATATATTCAGATTGTAAAATATTAACAGAAGTATAAAATGTTGGCCGTGGTGGTAGCTCACGCCTGTAATTCTAGCACTCTGGAAGGCCAAGGACTGCAGATCATTTGAGGTCAGGAGTTTGAGACCAGCCTGTGCAATGTAGCAAAACCCATCTCTACTAAAAACACACAAAAAATTACTGGGTGTGGTGGCATGTGCCTGTAGTCTCAGCTACTTGGGAGGCTAAGGTGGGAGGTTGAGGCTGTAGTGAGCTGAGATCGAACCATTTTACTCCAGCCTGGGCAACCAGAGTGAGACCGTCTCAAAAAAAAAAAAAAAGAAGAAGTATAAAATGTTCATAATGGAGCCTGATGCAGTGGCTCACTCCTATAATCCCAGCACTTTGGGAGGCCGAGGCAGGTGGATCACTTGAAGTCAGGAGTTCAAGACAAGCCTGGCCAACATGGCAAAACTCTGTCTCTACTGTATATATATATATAATGTATATATCTGCCTTTCTTTCCAAGGAAGCCAGGACTTTCTTGGAACATCAAGAGAAGCCACAGCAGATTTATGACCGGGAAGAGACCAGCCCCATGCTACTTATGAAGCACGTTCATTTGCTATTGTTCAGCATAACCTCATCAAAACTCCTTCACATGCTCTCCTTAAGCTCCACGTCAGCGAGGTTTTATATTAAAACAGCAACAGCAACCACAACAACACAAATCTGACCCCAGAAAGCCTGTAGAAATAAGGTAAACATGAAATACCTTGAAAAGGCAGAAGTAGCAAAGGAAACGTCATATACATCAATACTTGCTAACAGTCCCCTTACACTGCTACCTCTCACACCTCAAGCCAATTTTCTTTCTGTCAAAAACTCTAAACCTCCTCTCTACTCCCACCACAGCCCTGTTCTCAGCCTTCTGACTCTGTTTTTCTTTCAGTGGATGAGTGTTCTGATGTTTCTTTCCTTTGGCAGAGTTTGAGGTTTGGTCCCTTGTTTGTGCCATTCTGCTGGTGGCACAGTGACCAAAGACAAAGGGAGGAGGGAAACAGGAATGAGAGAGCAGGAGTGAAGGTTACTGGGAATTCTTATCCCAATAGGACACACTGTCAGGGGCACTAATAGAATTGGAGATGATATACAAGGTCACCATAAAGCTCTCAAGAGGGTCTGAACTAGAGTGGTGGGAAGGACACTAAAAACGAAGACCCAGATTCGAGAGACATTGGAGGCAGGAATTACGAACTGAATTGTGCTCCTCAAGCACAATTGTCAACAATGTTGCCCATCGGGACCACAGCTGTGTGTTAAATGGCTAAATGACAGCACGGATACATGCATGAACAAGTGGGCTGTGAGAAGGAAGGAGGACCAAGGACGGTGAATCAGGAGTGTTCCTGGGAACCTAACACATCTCCTCCAGTCCCCCACTCTCCGCAATCCTCATGGCATGCTGTCTGGCCCCTCCTGCCTCAAGGTTTCCTAGTTACTACTCCCTCTCCCTGGAAATGATCCCCCCACCTCCAGCTCACATCTGCATTTAGGGAAGTTGCCAGGCCTACAGAAAAAGGCAGACAGCGCAACTGCAGGAGCAGCAAAGATTTCTGAACCTAGAACAGATACATTGGGTCTGGGCGATGGTGCTTATTACGTCACTACAGAAATATGGAGCCATCATTCCAGGCACATCTGACAGGGATGAGAGTCCCTGACCTCCCGGACCTGCGAGACATTTTCCTCCTGAATGAACGATAACCCCTGCCACCTGCTGAGTGCGCCCCTTGAGAACATCCAGATAGGCCCTTGCCCTCTATATTCTCATGTCCTTGTTTGTCCCTGATCCATGTGCAAGTACTCCATTCACAGACTCAGATACGGATGTTATGAGCCACCCTTTTCTCCCCTTGTGAATGTAGTATAGCAATCAAAAACTTAGACAACTACAGTCACAGAAAGCAATGTCTTTGAGGGTGCCCACAGGGCACTTTCTGTCTGACTATATTGTTGTTTAAAACTTCAGATGGTTGCCACTTTTAACTTTTAATAAAATATTTTTGGCCAGGCACAGTGGCTCACGCCTGTAATTCCAGCACTTTGGGAGACCGAGGTGGGCAGATCACCTGAGGTCAGGAGTTTGAGACCAGCCTAGCGCAACATCGTGAAATCCCTTCTCTACTGAAACTACAAAAAAATAAAAATAAAAATTAGCCGGGCGTGGTGGTGCACCTATAATACTTGGGAGGCTGAGGCAGGAGAATGGCTTGAACCCGGGAGGCAGAGGTTGCAGTGAGCCCAGATCACGGCACTGCACTCCAGCCTGGGTGACAAGAGCGAAACTCCATCTCAAAATAAATAAATAAATAAATAAATAAATAAATAAATACATAAATAAAATATTGTTTTATCCCTTGTAACTCACTTCAGTAAGTCTTCACTGTTTGAATCAAAGAGAAAAGATCTGTTGAATGAAACAGGTCTGAATGAATGTGTGCCCTCGACCTTTCTGTACTTTGAGAGCCTTTCTCCCAGATCTTTCACATTCCAAAGTCACATTTTTTTCTCTGAGATAAATATTTCAGGCTAACAATAATTTTAAGTCAAAGTGCATGATCCATGTGCACCATTGCTGCATGGCCGTGCTGCGGACACTGACCCTGTGCCTTCCCCCTCCTGAGGGCTCCCCAGTGGCGGGCTGGACTGAGAGGCTCTGCCCGGGTTGTCCACACACCAGCTGGGCAGCCCACCTCAGCTTCCCACCTTCTCCATCCCCTCCCCGGGGCAGGACACCCTGCTCACTCAGTGCAGGTGTGCACCAGCCCCTCCCTCCACACCCAAGTGTGCAGGAGAGCACAGACACTGCTGTCTGCTCCTCTGGGTGGCCTCCGCCCTCTGCATGGTGACAGACAGGAACTCGAAGAAAGTTTGTGGAGTGAATAAGTATATATTTATATCATAACTACTGTGAAAAAAAAATGATACTAAGAAGCCATTGTTTGCTTTCTTAGCCATGAAGCCTGAGGAGAAGGGATCAGGAGCTGTGCTCCCATGGCCAGCCACTGGCTGCGGGGCATCCCCAGGCCACCCTAGGCCCTCTCCTCTTCCCAAGCCTGATGGAGGCCACCAAATGTCCCTGCGGAGGGGCCCTTCTGTCCCAGTCTCGCCGGCAGCTCCACCTTGCTTTACTGTTGCTGGGTGTGAACAGAAACGTGTCAGGAGCTTCTCGCTTCTGTCCCCATCTTCCTTCCCTGCGTGTCCTGCCCTCCTCCCTTCAGCGCTGCCCCAAATGCCCGGCCGCCCCCTCGGACCTCCTTTTCCAAGGCCTTTTCCGTTTTCCCTGCATTCACAAGACCTCTTCTCTGCCTGTGGGTGTCTCATGACCCTCTAGAGCGTGACTTTTTCCTCTCTCATTCCTTCCACTCCCCTTGGGCACCTAAGTAGCAGGAACCCGACTTGTCCAAAGTTGATTTGGGAGCAGCCGGCTGCGTCTTGGGCCCTTCTAAAATGATCTAGGAAAGGTTCCAGTAACATAAGCTGCCGCCTGCTGAAATTGGCGCATCCTCAGCCACTCGCTGCGGCCAGCGTGAAGGGGAAGGGAACTGGGCATTCCTGGCACCGTCAGGTGTCTACGGACAGCAATCTTAGTTAATTCTCAAAACCCCGGAAAACCCAGAAATGAGGCGCTGACAGGGACCTAACCTGTCCACCACGCCTAGGCCGGTGGGACTGAAACCCATGTCTTTGGGCTGCTTTACCAGTTTATTTCCAAAAAGGCCTCCCACACCTGGGAGGGGACATAGAAGGCTGGTCCCATTGCCAGCCGGATTTCTTTACTTAACTCTCAGCCGTGGTAAATCTAATACGCTTACGACCTCTTTCTGAGAGCTGGGAATCTGCAGAGATGCTCTGTTCTCTGCTGTACTAATCTCAAGCTTCCCAAAGCGAGTGCCTCACCCAGCTCCTAGGGGAATCCACGGAGCCCCAGGTGCAGGGCAAAGGATGGGGCGGGACGGGGACATCCTACCTGCGCTCCGGGAGCCGCTGGGAGTCCGGCCTGCCCCGGCCGCGGGGAGGAAAAGTAACGGCTTGGGCTCCTCATTCGTGACGTGCGCTCCCCTGCGCCCCCGCGGCCTCCCGTGGGCTCCGGGCGGGGACAAAGCCAGCGCCAGCAGGAGGAGTGCGGGCAGCGGGGCACCGGGCTTGAAGGGCCACATGTTCGCAAGCGGGCAGAAGAGAGTGGGAGGCTCGTGGAGGATCCTGACGCAGTTCCAGAGGGTGCGCAGCCCAAGAGATGGCCCCCTGGACCAGAGCGCGGCTACGCGGCCGGCCGCAGTCCTCACCGCGCGCCTGCCCTTGTCTGCGTCCCGGGGGTCGGCTGGAGCTGCACTGGGACTCGGCCCCCAGAGTGCCGAAGCCTAAGCGCTGCGAGGCGCGGGGCGGGAACGGGAGGCGGTGCCTGGGGCCACCGGGTCGTCCCCCACGATGAGGGCGTGTCCCAGCGCGCGGGACCCTCGGAAGTCCGCGCAGCCTGCCCTGACGGACACCAATCTCGGACTCAGGGGGTCTCAGGGCTCCCTACGCAACGCCTGCCTTGGACCCGGACCCTAGGCTCGCTTTCTGGTCGGCATCCCTGGGAGGACCCAGTAAGGTACCCGCCGCGTCGCCCCGGCGGTTCTCCCTGGGGTCTGTCTCCCGCCACCCCCACCCCGCAAGCCTCGGCGTCCGTCACGGATTCCCCTAGTTGGCGGGGGTCAGTAGAACCTGCGGTGCCTAGGTCGGGACGGAAAAAAGCAGCGCCGAGATGCGGCCTGGATGAGCGGAGATCGCCGCAACTTGGACCCAAAGGTGCCGGGTGCGCTCACCTGCCGAGCCCCTGCTCCCTCAGGAACCATGGCCACTCCGTCACGCCAGCCGCCCCTGCCCCAGCTCTGGAGGCCGGACCTGCCCTCCTGGGCGCAGCACCGCGTTCTCTTCCGCGTGGGGGAGAAGAGGGCGGAGGAGGTCTGGGGCTGGGCACCTGGGACACACGTCCAGCTTCCCTGGCCATCCTGCATGGAGTGGCCGGTTTCAGTGCTTCCCCAAGTGAAATCGCCAGGGTTGACCAGTGCGCCCATAAAAGCAGCCGGCTGGATTTTTCTTCAAATTAGGGAACTCTTCTAAAGAGTTTTAGTGTTAACAACTTAAAAAATGAAATTAAGGCCAGTGGTCCTGATTAAAATAAAGTAAGCATCTCTGATCAAACCGCGCTCTGTAAACTGCTGTTGTTTTAGTTATTTCAGCCGCCTGCTTTATTGCTTTATATTAAGCATATTGAAAAATGTTGAAATTGCTCTCTAATCAACTGACTACTAATTATCTTCTCATATGCAAAGTGCAAACAGGTGAACGGAAGAGGACAGGAATAACTAAGGAAATTGAGGCTCCATTACTCCTTAGACATTACCCAATGTTACATTACTCTACAAAAAAAAAAAAAAAATCTTGTCGGTCACAGATCCTGAAAAATGACCTCAACTCCTTCAAATCGTTTATCTAGGTTTGGCATGTCCAACATGCCCTAGAAATTGGGGAAACAAAGCAAGCTTTGCAGGAGCGCTGTGAAATCGTGCCTTTGGATGATGCTCTTTTGAGGAAGCTGTTACACGGGTGAAGACTGCTTCTTCCAATCGTTTCACTGTCAAGCTTGCATAGGAATATGGTATTTCCTAAGCAAACACAGCGGTGTAACAGAATGGCTTCCACCACCGGAGACCCAGAAGAGTCTTCCTAGAAAAACAAGTTAAGAATCTGAAGGCCCTACTTAGGTGGAATAAACGCTTTCTCACAGTTCTACTCAAGCGAAATAAGAAAACATTAGAAGTTCACAGACATTGACAGGCAGTTCAAAAATAATTTTATTGGAAAATAAAAAAATAGGGACTAGTCTGGAAAACCATGGGTAAATGCAGTATGAAATAATGCTGGAGAAGAAGTGATACTGAAACCATGACAAATGGATTTTTTAATCAACCATCTATCAGGAGCAAATGACAGCAAAACCTGGAAGCTGAATTATTTCCCTCTTCCTATGCGTTGAAAGCTAGAGGAAATAAACAAAGCAATGAAGTTTTCGAGACTGACAGCTTGGGGTCTACTTTCAGCGTCATTAGCCATAGGACCCTGAGCAAACCATTTAGTCTTCTCTCTAGCAAGGTTAAGAGGTTGAACTTCAGTGGTTCTCAAACTGTATACCATGTGAAAGAGAGGCTGTAAAAAAAAAATGCAGGTTCCCACACCCCTCTGGACGCAGTCCCCCAGAAGAATCCCATAAATTTGCATTTTAAGGGACTCTGGGCAGTTCTGAAGCAAGTGGTCCTTTGAAACCCACCTTTATTCGTTCAACAAAAATGATGTGAATGCACACTGTGGAGCAGGCAGTGAAAACACAGCGGAGCCACCACAGTGGGTAAAATACACGAAATCCTCATCTTTGTGGAGCATCTAGCTTCGGGGATCTAGTTTGCCAACACAATGCTTTTATTGTAAATAAACAGGTTGCCTATAGCTAAGTCACTCTTTGCTTTTGTTCTTTGTTCATTGCGTATCTTTGACTACTTTTCTAACTGCCCCAACTAAATGCTGCTTGCCCTGCCTCTTGCTAATTTGTTTAGAGGCAACTTGAAGTGTTCATGTCGACATGCCCTCAGTAACACTTGCTAGTTTATTATTTAGTGTATAAGGAGGGGTTATCTGTGTAGGAGTGGGTACTTAGTAACTAACGTTTAAAGTAATCCAGAGTTTTTTAAACTGTAACTGTTACAAGCTATTTTAAGCCTTGAAACTCAAGGCACTTATTTTCTTTACAACTTAGCTAATAAATTAAACAAGTGAAGTTTCCTTATTTAACACCAACAAACCCTATTAAACATTTCAAAATACAATCACATATTTAATATAGTTGATTTTCTTAAACATTTTTAAAAACAGAAAAGTCACAAGTATTGAAAAAGTCCATTGCTACATCTCCCCCAAAATATTGGTAATATTGGTAATATAAACTTGAGGTTCTCTAGACAGAACTAACAGGATATATATATATATATAAATACTTAATAAACTCCTACACACACACATATATATATAGGAGTTTATTAAGTATTAACTTACACAATCACAAGATCCCACAACAGGCTGTCTGCAAGTTTGAGCAACAAGGAGACCCAGTCCAAGTCTCAGAACTGAAGAACTTTGGAATCCGATGTCCGAGGGCAGGAAGCATCCAGTATGGGAGAAAGATGTAGGCTAGGAGGCTAGGCCAGTCTCACCTGTTCACATTTTTCTGCCTGCTTTATATTCGCTGGCAGCTGATTAGATGGCTCCCACTAGATTAAGGGTGGGTCTGCCTTCCCCAGCCCACTGACTCAAATGTTAATCTCTTTTGGCAACACCCTCACAGACACACCCAAGATCAATATTTTGTATACTTCAATCCAATCAAGTTGACACTCAGTATTAACCATCACAAGAATAAGATTATGACACAAACCCAGAGAGTCGATATACCCCTGAGGTAGGACAGTAAAGGTATATTGCTGGCCTTGCCAGATGAAGGAAAATTGCTTCTGGTGGGCCTTATGGATGGGAATGGAGAAAATGGCATTTGCTAAGTCAATGTCTGCATACTGGATACCAGGAGATGTGGTAATTTGCTCAAGCAATGAAACTACATCTGGTACTGCAGCTGCAATTGGAGTCACCACTTGGTTAAGCTTATGATAATCCACTGTCATTCTCCAAGATCCATCTGTCTTCTGCACAGGCCAAACAGGAGAGTTTAATGGGAATGTTGGGGGAATCCAAATCACCTCCCCTGCATCTTTCAAGTCCTTGAGGGTGGCACTAATCTCCTCAATTCCTCTAGGTATGCAATATTGTTTTTGATTTACTATTTTTCTAGGTAGAAGCAGCTCTAATGGCTTCCATTTGGCCTTTCCCACCATGAAAGCCCTCAGCCTACCAGTTAGGGAGCCAATATGGGGGTTCTGCCAGCTGCTAAGTACGTCTATGCCAATTTTGCATTCTGGCACTGGGGAAATGACCACAGGATAAGTCTGGGGACCCACTGGAACCTAGTGTAAGTCAGACCTGAGCTAGAGCTCCTTTAATTACCTGACCTCCATAAGCCCCTACTTTAACTGGAGGACCATAATGACATTTTGGGTCCCCTGGAATCAACATCAGCTCAGAGCCAGGGTCCAGTAGCCCCCAAAATGTCTGATCATTTCCCTTTCCCAATGCACAGTTACCCTGGTGAAAGGCTGGAGGTCTCCTTGGGGAAGGATGGGGAAAAGATTCACTGCATAAATTGTCAGTGATGTAGTAGGGTCCTTCCTCAAGGGGACCCAGACTCAAGGGGTTTTGGGTTTGTAAACTAGCTCAAGTCTGGAAATTGATTGAGGGGCCATGATTCTCTGTTTTTGTAATTCAAATTAGTCTTTTGTCCATTCGAACTAGAATTTTTCTCCTTACATAAATTAAGAAGGAATGCAATAGGCTTCCCATCAATTTCAATTCTGGGAACACTGTGATTAATTAGCCAATGGCAGAGCTCCACTCGAGTCAGACTATTCTGATTGCTGCTTTGCCTCTGCTGTCCATTATGTTAGCTACGCCCACCTTGCATTTGACGGTTGAGTGCTGCCACTTGGCCCCTGCCTCCTTGGGATCCAATTATGCCCATTGTATTTAAATTTTGTAGTTGAATGACTATGGTTCCCACCATTAGATCTGACATACAGAAAAGAGCAATTACAGGGCTCTTCAAAGATGCAAGTGCTGCCCTCACAAATCTATATCACAATGCATTGGTAAAGGCTGTATCTTCTGGACCCTCCCAGCTGGAATGAGTAGGTGTAAAGTGACTAAGCCACTCCACCATCCCAATCTCCCTAAGCCTTTGGATTCCCTCCTCTACATTAAACCAAGGGAGGTCAGGCATTTCCAGCTTGCTCTCAGTGAGCTATCTTTTAATCCATATTTCAGCTAACTGAGCAAATAAGCTATTAGAACCTTTTTTTTAACTCCCCAAGCTGCAACATTAAAAGCAGAGTCCCTACTTAGTGGGTCCAAATCAATAAATTAAGCCTGATCCAACTCTATGTTCCTTCCACCATTATCCCATACCCTTAATGTCCATTTCCATGCCTGTTCTCCAGATTTCTGTTTATATACATTAGGGAACTTAAGCAGTTCTTTTCGAATGTAGTGCACCTCCTCATAGGTCACACTCTCCACCTTACCACTAGGGGCCTGAGAGGACTTTAGTCTAGTTATAGGTCAGGAAACAAACAGGAGTGGTGGGGGTGGCTCCTAAGGAGAATCAACATTATTTTGCCTGGCAACTGCTTCAAGGGAGGCCATCACTGTTGCCTTGGGCAGTGCAGGGTTTATCTCCTCAAACAAAGGTGGAAAGGCTAATGG